TTTGCATTTTTTGGAATAAAAAGTGTTTTATAGAAGCTGCCGGATTCTGTGCTACAGATCCTGATAATTTCAACGTCGCGGGTCGTTCAGAGTTTTTGTGTTCAATGGTCTTTTTTTGTTTTCAGTGCTTGTCAATTTCTTCGGTACTTATTTTAACGAGCTGTCGAGAGGATTGTGGATCGTATTTTATCTGAAGAATCGTAGAGTGTGAGAAGTGGAATGATTAATAATCTAGAAGGAAATTGACGTGAAAGAATAGGCTCACTTTTGAATAATATTATGGAAAAAAAAAAGATACAATAAAGATAGTTTAGCAGAAAGTAATTAGTATCTGAGAAACAGATAGATTAGAAAAATTACTAATGAAATGGGAAATACAATCGTCAAAGTAGCATTATTATACAAATTTTACTTGCAAATTCACGTTTAGAGCGACGAAAGTTTAGCGTTGAGAATAAGCAGGACCTTTAAACACGATGATTTAAAAATGAGTACAACTTCGAGTGTTCATAGCTGACAAGCGTGATACAAATGGTACAAATGAAGTTTTGTTTTAAGTTAGTCGAAGAAGAATTTGCACTTTTCTACGATTTCTAAATGTTTGCAAATGCACGCATGAAGAGATTTTAAAACGTTCTATGTAACAGATATCTGTAGGAAGAATGAAGTAAAAAAAAAAAACAGATTTTATACGAAATTATAATAAATTCGCGTCTTTTACTGTTGCTTCACTCGAAAAACTTCTTTCTCCCTTTTCTACATTCGCTTTAGTCCTGTTAGATAAGTTTCAATAAATAAAAAAAAACATACTTGCCATACGTAAACACTATTGTAGAATTTCTATTTAACATCCACATAGATTACGGAAAATTGAATAATTATCACACGATGTCGATTTTGAGCTTGATGCGTAGACAAATAGAAAACTATCGCGTGTAATGGTAAGCCTATTGTAATTTTACATTTATACATTATGTATCAATATTTTAGGTAATGAAATGTACTAATTAATTATTCAAAATGGTATCGTTCAACTGAGAAATAAAAATCTAGGCATCTGAAAATCAATACCTAAATAATTGCACAAACTACGACCTAAGGCTGTACTATCAATTCGACTCCTAAGCATCTCCTTATCCAACAATTATCTTTAAGTATTGAAAAAAAAAAAAGAAATAAATTGACTATAGATTTATCAAACTATACAATAAGCAATTGGTAAGTAAGAAATGTAGATTTTAATTTCGATTCAGCAGCACTATTCTTGCTACTATCAAAGATTTGACCTATAATGCAAAGAAAATGAACAATTTCCATTATCGGTGACCCAATAAACGACAGATTCATATTGAACGTCCGATATGAAAATAAAAGCGACGGATGATGTTTCTATTTTGTTAAAAAGGGTATGATTGCAGATGCCACAGGCATGACACCCAAAGGAAAATAAAGCACGTTGAAACTAATTACAGTTTAATGAATGATCCCGCACGGACCAGGCGCGAACTTCCAAAATAAATGTACACGTGAGAGATCGATATTATATTTATATTTATAAAATTATTCATCATTAGAAAGCACATATGATCTATCTATATGACGTAATTCACTACGCACACACGCGTACAAGCGTGCCTACGAGCGCACGCACGCACAAAGAGAAAAAAACACGCGGAGCCGCACGCACACCGTGAAATACCATTCATTCCTCGTCGCGCACGCAGGCGTAAGCACACACATACACACACGCGCGGGCATACATACACACGTACGTGGGCGCGCGTGCGCGCGCCACACACACACACACACACACAAAATAACCGCTGTGTGAACGGCGACGCGCGACTAACGAAACGAGTATACATGTCTATGTATGCACGTGTACATATTCAGAGTACCTCACGAATGTGTTTTACAGGGTTTTTCGTATCATTTATTTCTTCATGTACTTTTATTTATTTACTTTTTTTTTTGTAGTTTTATCTTTATTTTACGCATCTCTTTGTAACCGCTCGAACAATTGGAAGAAAATGCAACAGAGATGAGCAGGCCAGTGTCATCACAGTAATTATTTACCGCATTACGTTTTTATTCGAGAAAATATCTTCGTCTTTCGAAATCGTTTATCATTTATCCGCTATACATCATCTTCCTGTTATCTTTTTTTCACTTTTCATCTTTTTCCTTCCCGCGTTCGATTAAATATTAAACACACCACTTCTTATCTCCGTTTTGGATACACATTTTTCGTATTTTTTCTTCTTCTCGTTTCGCATCCTCCGTCAATCCCCGAATTCTTACGATCTAAATATATCCTTAAGAACGTTAACGTTCCCCTCTTCGTTTAATAAAAATCATTAATCGCTAGGACGTTCGTAAAATTGCAACTAAAAAAAAAAGAAAAAAAATAAAGAAAACGAATTCCTCGTCTCTCTCTCTCTCTCTCTCTCGCTCTCTCTCTCTCTCTCTCTCTCTCTCTCTCTCTCTAATCGTCTAACAAAAGGACACTCGATCAAACAATCGCGTTAAACTCGATCTCAACAGTCTCCCCCCGTTGGGTGCACGTTTGTACAAACACGTGGCCGTGAGGCGGAGACTTAAAAAAAAGAAAAGAAAAAGGGGAACAGAAAAAATTCAAAAAATAAAGAACACCGGGGAGAATAATAAAAGTTCGTCGTCGACGACGAATAATTTGAATAAAAAAAATATATATATATGTATATCGCGTTAAAACAAACTATACACTAAGGGACACCTCCGTCCGCGTGTTAAAAGGGAGAGAGAAAAAAAACAACAACAAAGCTTCAACGCGTTTGCGTATACGCGGTCTCTTTCTCTGTCGCGAAAAGTAGGCGCGACTCCCTGCAATGACGAACATACATCGCTTACATACACGGATTTCGCGCGCTATGTCTACCTCGTGGCAATTTCTTCCAACTTCCTCCGTTGTCTCCTACACCGTTTATCGCTTTCTTATTTTTATTTATTTTTTTTTTTTTTACTCTTTTTTACGCTCTTTTTTAATTTTTCTTTTCGTTTAATAACCGGTGAACATCCTGGAAAAATAAGACACTTGCGTGAGATTTCTTTCATATGCATGTATAATATACATATATACACACCGATTCTTTTGTGTCGCGCGACGTGTGTATATACATATAGAATAAACGTGAATTAGACGTATTTTTTCATTACTTCTTCTTCTCTCTTTTTTTCTTTTTTTTTTTCTTTTTTCTTTTCGTTTCTCCGCATCCTTTCTCGTTTCTTCCCTTTTTACCTTTCACATGTTACAATAATTAATTTTTCTTTTTCCACGATATTACGATCAATGCAACAACGGATGTCGTTTCGAAAAAGTAATTTTACGTGTGCATCTCTAAAAGACCCAAAGGAGAATTACCGAGCTATGCAAAATAGAAGGATTGATCTCCATTATTATTTTTTTTTTCTTTTTTTCATCTTCCTCATCTTCTTCACACGTATACATATATAAATATACGTAAATTTATATATCGATTATATATAAATAATCGGGCGAATTAGTTATATATAACACGCTATATAAATCC